ATTATGCAAATTCTACAATTCATTTTAAACGCGACGTACAAGAAAACCCTATCCTATCTAAGAAATGCATAAAGAAATGTTACTACTCTCAGATGTGTAAAACATATCCGAGGTCACTGTACTCAGAAAATCACTACTGAAATGGTACCACCAGTCACCGGTGTCATTACGGACTTTTCGCCCTATGACATGATCGGTAACCAGAATAAGAAAAAGCATGCGACTCACCGTTCGGTGTCTGAATCTGCTCGTAGCTCGGAAACAAGAAGTATTTTTTTCCATGGATGGCGCCACTGGTCAGCGTCGTTCAGCATCGTTCAGCATCGTTAAACACTAATTAGTACTGGCGAACACTGTTAAATATTGTTCAGCGCCTTTCAGTAAATTTTAAACGTGTTCAATAAATGTCGACAGTGTTTCACAAATTTCAACAGTATTTTGCCAATTTCAAGTGTTCCACCAATTTCAGCAGTGTTCCACCAATTTCAGCAGTGTTCCACCAGTTCCAACAATATTCCACCAGTTTCAGCAGTATTCCACAAATTTCAAGTGTTCACTAAAGTCCAATAATGTTCACAAACGCGCGAGGATATCACTGACTGTACAGAAAAACGAGATAGGAGAGAGCTCCTTCGCGAACGGCGACTCACGGTGAACTAATAGTGAAATTTCAAAATCTTAATCGCCAATTCCTATTTTTCGTTCCTTATCGGCGATATTCGGCAATTTCCAGCCTTACTCACCAGCGGTCTCCACTATTATTCCTTTGGATATTTAATTATCGGAAAAGTAAGGAATGTTACGGAGTCTTACCGTTTCCGCGAAATGGGTTGTATACTTAATCCTATTGAGGAGGACTTTTTGGAAGACCTACGATACCTGCGCGTCCGTAATAATAATCGCTACCGCCGAGCTTATCAAATTCCTCGAATTGACCTACAAGGGACAGGTGGAACGAAATTATTTTATTTTGTACACATTAACCATTGGAATTTATATTCTATTATGGTTTAACCTTCTTTAGAATTTCAATGTAGCAGAAACTGAATTTAATATTCACCGAAATTAATAGTCTCCATTGCAACTTATTTCGAAAATATTTTATTTTGTAACTAACCATTGGAATGTATATTCTATTAATATACAAATATTCTAATAATTAAAAGAGATTAATATCGTACGCAAAAGTACTTTCTTTTGTCAGCTAACGCCTAAAACTCTGTAAAACGGTGGGGCGCATAGCAAATGAAGGCGGCACGTGACGTGCGCGCCATATTTACGCAGCTCCCTCCGTAAACCGGGAGGAGGAAGCCGTGGCAGAAGTCGGGCACCGTGCTAACGAGTCAAGAACGCCGAAACACGGCGCTTCCTCAAAGCGCCAACAAGACGGATTACTTGTTTGCAAGATGCGCTACGTGACCCGTGTAAAATCTATCGACGGCTGCTTGATAAATTCATGGATCCTCGGAAAACGCTTTCCCCCCGGGAGCCGAGCGGCTCGATAAATTATGTTTGCAGGAAACGGCTCGGACGTTCCCGAATATAAATATCTTTCAGAGTTATTGCCGGGATATTCTCGTCAATCGCTATCACTGTTCTTTCGATCAATATCGAACTTTTTGAGAGACTTATTGTATCTCAATCCCAAAGAACCTGCATCAGCTTGTTCAACGCTAGATTCACGGAACGAGTCAATTTGACTCATACTGAATTTTCTAAGCATTATTTGCTAAATGTTTGGATCGATTTTTATTAACGCAGTTATGCGACTATGTACCCTAATTGTCTACTCTTAAACCTCTAATTTTTAAGATCTAAATGTACAGATAACAATTTTTAAGAACAATAGAACAAACTACAGTAAATGTCAGTAAATCTAGTGTTAATGTTCGAGGAACGATATTACTTTCTGGTTAATGAAGAAAACGATTGACTGAGAAAACATGGAGAAATTAGCGAGAAGTATGAATATTGAATTGAATATTTGCAGCGTCGTTTTCGTAAATTATATTGTAGCCGTAACAACGAAAATTTTAATATTCTGTGGTAAGTATTATTAGAGATGTATGAAAAATGTACGAATTTTTACGCAAGTTGCATTTTATAGAATTCAATGTTTATTCCTTCAGAATAGTGAAACGCTTCTCAAAGAATATTCGAGTAACGCGCGACTAATTAATCACTCCGCCGTAGATCTTAATCAAATTTCCAAGCATGTCGGGGGCCCGGCAACAAATAACGCAGCGGAAATATTGCGGCTGCTGTTTAAAGCTAAAAATAAAAAAATGAATTATTCAGGGGAATATATTCATATACAATTTGTAAGTGCAATAACCGGCCCCATACGTCTCGACTCTAGCCGCATACCAAATCGCCGTTCTGCATATATCAAGAATCAAGATGGCAGCGAGTTAGCGCTCTCCGCATGGAATCCTAGCTTAAAGCAGCTGCTCTTTTCTTCTTTCCTCCTTTATCCTTGCATGTCCTTCTAATACGCGAACTAAGAAACTATCATCACCGATAAATCGCACTGGATTTACGTAAACCTCCGTTGAAATTGAGAAACGAGAAGAATTTCCGCCTCACTTTTATACAAATGGCCGCGGGAACGGGGAAGTCCCGTGGTGTCGCGAGGGGCGACGCGACGCTTGCCGCGAATAAATTTCTCAGATCCTGCCATGTCACAGTGAAAAATAAACATCTTGGGGGTCGGGGGTTGGAAATTTCGAGCGATCTATTAATTACCAAGTTGGACCGTAAATTTGTTCGTGTTTGAGCCGTGTACAGGGTGTTCGTTGTAAGATGGATCAGTCTTTTTTCTTGTAAACGGTGAATATTTAGGAGTAATGATTATGAGGGAATAAAATAATAATTAGAAGTAAATAAGTAGAAAAGTAAGAAATGATTGGAATCTGGTAATTAGAAAATGGGAGATAACGATTAGAAGCTGATAATTGGAAAACAAGAAATAATAATTAGACGTAAATAATTAAAAAGACAATACAGAGGAAGAAATGTTTATATTTTCCAAAATTACGAAATAACTGGTTAACTTATGACACGGTAGATTCAGTGGGACACTCGTTGTCCTTGTCCGACATCGTTTACTCCCCACTACGCGAGCCATTAATAATGGACGCCGCAAACAGTCCATAATTGCGGTTGATCTAGCAATATGCAGGAGATGATTACTGTCGATCGGCGTACCGATAACGAGTACTTCACGGAATTAATTCCGTGCGTTGTCTTAATTTACAGGCGACATCGATCTGCGTTTGTCCGTCGACGGTAGTTAGTCGAAACGACGGGGGCGACGAATTGATGGAGGCCTTTTTGTCTCATCAACCCTTATCTCGAGTGTTGCTTCAATGGCCCTTCGCGCGAGAAAATTGAACCGTCTTTTTTCCTTTTGGCTGGTAGAACTTGTTCCAGGCTTAGTTGAAAGTGGCGAGGGACTAATTGGTTGATCGAGAAGTAGTCTAGAATGCCGATAAAGTAATTGATTGTGGGATATTACGGTAATAAGTTAATTGAAGGGAATCAACGACTGACACGGTAGTAGATTAACGTGTCATTGTTTCGATGCCTTTTATAAACTGTTTAGAAAATTATCGTTCTTTGTTCGATATTCTGGTACATTGGCGATCCTCATTTCTGAAGATTCACTTTCATAGACACTGCACCCTGCAGGCTTTTAGGGTTCCAAACGTTAAACATTATACTTTTGTGCCTCACGAGGGAATACTGTGTTTTAAGACGTGAATATTGATGAGTTGTCGAGTTGCATGGATCTTGTAACGCTGGCCAGACAGCTTAGGGCACCTTGGTTCGAACATTATCGAAGCATAGATTGAGTATTCCCTTTGAAAGCTCGAACATTTGTCACAGATGTCGGAAGTATGAGATAAACGATCTGGGAACCTGCAACCCTCTTATTAAAATCTTTCGGAGACATTGGGGAAGCTTAATTAATCTTTCACCTAGAGTTTCGCCCGGAAACTTCAAGTTCCTTTTTATCTTTTATCATGTTTATTATAGTTAAAATATTGCTAAAAATTAACTATTTCTATATTTACATTTTTCATCATCATGTTTATTATAGTTTGACAAATCGAAACGATATCAAGATTAAATCTATTTACAATCGTTGAAGTACCATTTATACTTAAATGCTTCTTACGTGGTTGGAAGACTTGTGCAACTAATTGCATTCGGATAAAGAAGTGACAGCGGTAATTCCCCGATTCGTAAGCGTATCAAGAGCTTTCGCGGACGACACGTTTCTAATTAACGCTCCGTCTAGTCGCACTATCCCCTTAGTAAATCAATGACGCGTCAAGCTTAACTGAAAAACCTCATTCAGCATTCAACGGAAACGTGACGACTTATAAAAGCGTTTAAACGTTCCACTCACGCAGTAATTTGTCATCTATAATAAAAATAACAAATTGAGTATCGCATAGTTTTTCCGAGAAAAGTATAAAAAATGAGAATAATCTAATATCAAATTATGTAATTAAAATGCGTTATCATTATTGCAGGTTTATCTCGTTGAATGTCACTACGTTAGGTAGTATTACTAATAATAGAAAAGTTTCCAAATAATTATCGTTTAATTGAATAGATTACAGTAATTCGATTTGATTGGGGTCACCGGTGACCTCCATGGCATCCAAGGTGTTCATAATCTTCTTATCATAAGAAATTCCCGCTGCTCCGCTTCCCATTCGCAGCCAGGAGAAAAATACGTTTTAATTAGTTTAATTAGCTGGCTAGGCGAGGAACTCGAAAGTGCAAGAAGATTATAAATTCCGGAGTGGATCTCATTTGATTACTAAAGTTCCTTTGGCGACGAAATTGCGGTTCCTTTTACGTAATTAAGAGACGTCGAATTACGACGCCAATGAAGTTATTTACGTTGCGCAACGCGACTGCATTTTCAATGAACAGAAATGTTCAGCCAGCGATATTTCAACTGAACGAGGTGAAATCTGTTACAGTAGCTGTAGTGATCGCGTTTTTCATCTGCTGGGCGCCGTACCACGTGCAACGGCTGATCTACATCTACGGCACGGAGCCGGACCACATAACCTCAAACAGCGAGGGAATGGAGTTCCTTTATCTTCTCATGACTTACACGTCCGGCGTCCTCTATTACGTGTCCACGACGATCAACCCGATCCTGTACAACATCATGTCGAACAAATTCCGCGTGGCGTTCATGGTGAGTGAATTTTCTCTTAATTCGGTCCCGACAATATGGCGGATGAGATATGGCAAACTCCTGAGAATTCTGAAGAATCTTTGGAAGACAATACTTGACTTCTAATTTTGGTGGCTTTAACCCCTTCGCTTATGATTTATTTCTTAACTATAATCGATACAACTACTTTATCGTTAATAATTTATTAAGAATACCACAAATTTTAATGCTTATTCCATGTGTACGTTTACTCCAAAGGTTAACGATTGATAATAGGAAAGTAATACTTAATTTATATTTCAAGAGATTGAATAACACTGACATTAACTGTTTACGATATCAGAGATATTATTATTTGAAAAAGTTAATAACAAAGCTGGTAGAAATATATTTGAGGACATTTGGAACTCTATCTTTAACCATTGGACATAATTTTCAATGGGTTCTCGTGATCCTTTTTGAACCACTTGCATATTGAAGTGTCAACTTCAAGCTCCAATTTTATATATTGAAAGTTGACAAATCTTCGAGTAGGATATTTAGAAATTCTTATACTCGCTTTATCTCACCTTGTTCTTCCCAATTAATTCCGGATTCCCTCTTGAATAACTTCTCTTACCAAAGAGGTACCATCAAACAATATTATCATTCCTACGTTGTTTTCGCAGGAAACACTGTCGAAGAGCTGCAGAATCCCAGGCCTAGTCATTCGAAACGAACAAAGATCCTACTCCAGTCTCTCCAGGTCCCATCAAAGAGCGCTGGGTGCTTCCAGAACAGTAGGCACTGCCGGGACAGGGGTTGGCCACGATAGCACCGAGTGTTCAGGGAATTCCGTGAAGGAAGAGAGACCGAGGCAAACAACGTCGCTGATCATCGAGCAAGTAGACTCTGACGCAGTCGACGACAGCCTCAAAAGAAGTAGGAGGGATGAGATCCAGAATCTGGAAATTCTAGTGAAAGAAGTCCACAACATCGATGGCGCGTTGAAGGATCACAGAAACGGCGATTCCAAAAGACCAATGCCAGCCATATACACTACCGTAAAGTTTTCAAACTCGGACGGGTCCGGGAAAAAATGGTGGCGACTGTTGAAGTGGTTTCCTGGATTGAAGTCCCTGAAACTGGCCGGAAGGACCACCTACGCTGTCCCGGAAAATCGTATCCTGGAGAACAACGAGCTTCGGAAAGAGGAATACTCGATGACCATGTGGAATGTGCACGAGGCAAACGATCAGAGACCAGTTTGAACGTTGAGAGATTATTACCTTCATTCTGTATTGTAAAAATCATTTAGTGTATTCTGGTCCTGAATGAATCGATCGATGGAGCTGGAGTGATAGCAAGTGCAACCTGTGAGAAAGGATACTGAAGATTCAGATGAGCTGGCAGAATGTAATCTGGTTTAGTGATTAACTTCAAGTCTAGAGTACAACAGGACCTAATGTTGTTATAAGTTCTTGACTTATAAACTTGAAACTTCGATCTTGTGCTGATCAAAACCTGGATTAGGGTTGATGATACTTGACACAGACCTGACTAAGAGCAAAGCAACAAAAATAAACAGTGCATAGACCTAATTGTAGATAAGTAAATCTAGAACAGGATATTTCGATCAAAGGAATTCCATATCAAAGGACTAACTCAGCTGTCTTTAACAGTGAAACTCTTGCGAACATGGATGAACTCTAAAGAGAAGGGTTTGGGTATCTGCGTGAATATGGAACAGTTAATGATTTAATGGCAGCCCGTCGCGTCAGTAGACGGACTTCTCGTCGCCGAAAAGTTTCGAGCGTTTTTCAGGTAACGTCAGCTGCGGAACTCGTTAATCCGGACGGATGACGAGGAATCACGAACGGTAGTTTGCTCTGAAAGTTCTGTCGTAGTGACTCGGTGACTTAGCCCCGGGCCGCTTGAAAAAGACTGATCTTTGTTAATCGTATTTTACACGAACAGAAGAACCACGATCTCGATCGTTCATTTAAGACTCGCTGCGGGATCACGGTGTTCGCTTGGGTCTGTCGACAATCGATGGGCAAGCGTGATCGCGAGGAATATATTGTACGTCTCTACGTGTTGCTGATATCGGTAGTTGTATATAAGAAAAAGTGACAATGGAAAGTTGCCAATAATTACCGAAGCTATAAATATGTCATTGTCATTTTAGTTTGAACGAGATCTGCGCGGATCGTTTCAAAAGGCGACCCCGATCTTGAGAATGTGATATTATTTATTGTGTAACCCTTAGAATTGTACATTGTCAGAATTGATTCGAAAGTAGACACCTGCTTGGCAAACCTTAAAGTGTGCGCCCCTCATTTGTGTTACTTGTAAGTCGATGTATTTTCAGTAATAATATTTTTGATAATCATCAAACGAAATCTTCATTCATCCTACTTATCCTGAGTCTAGATCTTTATCGTTGAAAACATTGCTAGGAAACCTACATATTTTTGTGAAACAAATTAACTCCTTGTCCTACGACGAAGTTAATAATTAAATTAAGTAAATTAATATTTACTTACTGATTTACTTTGATTAATATTTACTTGATTAATATTCCTCTGTAATCGACTATTATACATCAAAGGAAATATAGGCGAAACATATGCTTAAAATTTGTCTCCTTTTCCAACAAATTATTAATGACAAAGTAGTATCGATCAGAGTTGAGAAAGAAATCATAGGCCAAGGGGTTAATAATAGGTTCTGGATTGTGGCGCCATCCGTGGTAAAACAGTGAAACCGGTAAGTAAATGTCACTAATCGATGTTCCTAATGAGTGGTAACGTAGTTTGGCCATTTAATGTTAAGTTTCGTCACGTGGCCGGTAGATGACGCAACCCTTATCATTCCTATGTCACTTACAACCTTACCAACAGAGTAAAAAGTAATTAAAATAAACAATGTATTAAATTTTTCAGACAGCTATTAGTTCCTTCCTGATTGTCTTTCATTGTCTAGTAAACAAATTTTGATTAATTAACATCCTTTCGATAAATTTAAGACATCATGAGCCAATAAAACGAGTTAAAATTTTTTTTCTTCTTACAACTGTGAACATTTTACAACATTCTATTTTCACTATTCATTAACATGTAGATTGCTTAAACACAATTATAATAAGAAAATTGATATCGAATAAGAATATTTAGCAACATAGCAGCTAAGTAATGGTATAATGTCAATAGTGTAATACCAAATCATTATTAATTATTTTTAATACCATTCGCCGTTATTACGAAGGAATAAATGTCACTATAACAAAACGCTGGAAATTCTCGTGGCAGTCAACGTGTTAAAGTCTCTCACTAATTGCGGACTGCTTCATTAGACACAGGGTGGAGTGTAATGTGCATAGGACAATGCATTCCTCCCAATAGCAAGATCCCACGGAGCTTATGCAGAATCATTGTTTCACTGCTCTTGGAAAACATCACGTTCATTAAAGTCTATGCTACTCGTTGATTCAGGAAACTCAAATAGAATACGAAATGTTCCACTTAGAAACATCTAAGATATCATTAAGAATTTTCAGACGTGAAATATTCATTTTCATAATTAAAATTTCTATTTTTCATGTACAAGTAATTCGCTTTGGTGTAAATGATTGAAAAAGTAGAACGATCAAAGGTTCTTCAACCATTTTGTTCCACTTATCGATCGCCATTTTACACGTAACCCTGCACTGTTTCATAGAAAAAATCAATTATCAATACATTTCATTGACAATTGTTCTAGGATACAGAATGTAAACTAAGATATTTCAGACATTTATTTATTTATGAACGATTGATTTCATACGTATTCCAATTTTCAGAAACAAAGCAGAAGACACTAAACATAAATATAGGTTTCTTCCGTTTAACTGTGTCCAATCATTGTCTTAAACACACCCCGACTTTCTCTTTAGGTTTTTATTAATGGAAAAGAAAGAAGCCGATTACAGACGCGTTTCTAGGGTCTTAAAAGATCCATCGACGGTCGTGTGCGAGTACTAAATCGTTTCTTTGAAGCTTCTTATGCCCCAATTAAGTATAATGATTCAATTGCTCCATAAAGAGACGGAACGGAGAGAAATTATTCCCGAATGGCCGGAGAACAACGCGATTTCCAGCGGATTTCCACGACCGCAAACTGTTTGTAAATCCAACTGTTTTCTGGAATACATTCCCACGAAATCGCCGTCCGTCCCATGTCTCGTCGCGGCTAACCCTTTTTTCCCTTGCCCTGCGTTCAACACATACCGTAGGCAACCACCGCTTTGCCTAACTGAAACATTTTCTACGAACGACCATAACGGCGAAGTGAAAAGAACTTCTCCCGGGAGAACAAGAAAGCGTTAAAAAAGAATGAAAGTTAATGCGGCCGCGGTCTTTGCGGTGGCTCGACATTGAAAGTAAATGCACGAAAATTGCATAATTTTGATGGAAACCGGTAATCGATCAGTCATAACCGACCGCATCTTCCGGGCGACGCTCTGCGAAGATGTTTCACGAGCGAAAATCATTTGACTCGTTTCCTTCGAGTTCCGTAGGTTTGTTCGACATTTAACACTAGGTTTACGGACATTTATTGTACAATTTATTCTATTGTTCCCAGAAAGATGTTCGTCCGTTCAGACCTAGAAAATCGAATGTTTAAAAATGTATCATTAGGAACCATAATCACGGAATGGAGTCAATCAAAATCGACCCAAACATTTACCAAATAACGTTTATAAACTTCAATATGAGTCGAATTGACTCGTTCCGTAAATCTAGTGTTAATCGAATTCATTTCCTTCTACCAAACTATTAACCCTTTGCACTCGAGGGGTGACTCTCGCTCACCACTTGATTTCATGCAGTAAAACTGTCAAATTTGATATTTAATATTACACTCTGTATAATACATCAATTTGAGAAATATCGAAATAAAATAGCTTTGTTCCTCAATGTACGTGTGATTTCCCTTCGAGTTAGTTTCACAAAATATCGTCTCCGCCTCATCAGAAAATGTTCAAATATTTCCAGTGAAAAAGTTCCGAATGCAAAGGGTTAATGGTATTCACACTGCAACAGTTCTATTTAAAAAAGTGGGTCACCTACCCCCGATTTACCCTACTCATTTTCATTGTCCCTCGTTATTGTCCATGAGGTTTCCCGATTTCCTTCAAAAGTATGAACAAAATCTTATTAAACCATCGATGTATGCGTGTTACTGCAGCCGGTGTCTGTGTAAACGTGTAAAACCCACGATCCACGCACGAGCAACGAACTATTCACGGAAAACCATTGGGAATAAATAAAGCGTATATCGTACGGGGCAATTTTATGTCCTGCACGATAATGTTACTGGCGAAAGTGCGCAATCGATTTCACGATAACGTTGCGCTGGAATCCTACGTCCTATTACGCTCGCCTTGAAACCAGGGTGAAGCGAGCAGAGCCTTGATACGCCTCGCGAAATTATGTTGCGATACACTTCGCTTCACAGGCGGTCTACTTCTGCGAGCGGCCACTAAAGTCCAATTTACATATTCAGACAGACTGAGATATTCTTTCCAGGAAAGTGGTCGCGACTCGGCGAATTTTTCGGTGAAACCTGGAAACTGCTCGCTCCACTCGTTGGTCCCTTAACAGTTTGTCGAATACCCGAAGGGCAAGAGGAGGAAACGGTATCTTTTGAATTTACTGTAACGCCACTAAACATCGGAGTTCAATGTGAAACTTTCATATGAACATTCTTCTGTCGAGAATTTTATTCAATCGTAGATAAAACAAGAATGTAGTATTTCGATTTTTCTCGCCGCGCTTTAGTAGCCTGATTTTTATTCGTTTCCACGAAGTTGAATAGTTGCAAGAATTTCCAGGCTGAGTGCATCGTGAGAAGGTACCCTGCGAAGAATGCGAATCGCGAGGAAACACGGGCCGATTGGTTAGCACGCAATCTACCCATTTAAGATTGCACAACCTGGACAGATTCGTCGGTTGTCAAAGAACAGGGCGCAAACCGGTTTCTAGTCACGATAAATGAGTATTGTAGGTACTTACTTTTAGGCATTGTTCAATTCGCAGTTGGTGTTGCGTGCTGGAAATTGCTGAGTCTTTCTCGGGGATCAAAAACTCTGGCTAGAAATCGTAATTATCCTTGTTCCCGTTTAACGTCTGAACAGCTTCGGGTCTGATGCCACTATACAACGAACGATGTACTGAGTGGCCAACAAGAAACAGTCCGAAGATATAAAATTTCTTTACTTAATACTAGGTTTATCGTACAGTTTATTCTATTGTTCCTAGAAGGATCGATGTTCGTTGATTTGAACCTAGGAAATTAGAGTTTTAAAAGTAGACGATTAGGATATATATTAATGTAATTGCGCCAATCAAAGTCGACGTTAAAATTTACCAATTAATTCTTATCAAACTTAGTACGCATCCAACTGACGCATTCCGTCGACTCTTCCTTATTTTTCTCCATGTTTCCAGTATTTTCAACTAAGCGATCTCTCGATCGTCAATTAATAAAGATTTTTAATATTATAATCTATAGAATTACTTAATATCATGAACTATCCGAATGAACAACCAACGATCTCGTATAAACCAGTTAAATCCTTCGACCCCTCTAATTGGTGCACTAATGTTCTCCCTTTTGTTCTTCTTATCCGATTATGAATCCGTCTATTGTTGTGCAACAAAGTTCGTGGAAGTATGAAGCAATTCGGTGGTTCATATCGATCATCGACGTCACGGTCCGGCAAATAATTGCAGATCGTTCCACGGGTCCATCGATTCCGGGAGAACTGTCGCAACGCGGGGAAAAGATATTTAACGCGGGCCGAAACAATTTGCACCGTTCATTCCGCGACAGGCCATTGTTCGGTTTGGTGCGTATCAATGGCGTCTCCGGGAAAGTGAATCCCGCGTTAGCTGTCCCCTTGTCTTAGCGTAAGTAAGATCGACGCTCAATTCGCTGCTCCGTCAGTTATTCTTATGCGAAAACAAACATTTTACGGTAATTATTCTACCTGACAACTGGCAATCTGTTGTTGCTTTCCCTTTTATTTCTCCGTTTTCTTTAGGGCAACTCGCGAAGAGATGGCTCACTTTCTTAAAAGGAACTATCGCAAATATTATTGATACTTCAGAACAAACAAAATATGTTTATGAAAATATATATACCTATGTAAGCAGAATAGTTAAATAAGTTTCTGTATAACATTCAGTGTATCACTCAAGAAGATTGAGAATATTTGATAATTTTAATAAGATCGGGCCATCTCGACTGCAGAGCCGTTTCACAATTGTTACTTTTTGTACCATGTAACTGTCGCAGTTAATAATTTTATCATTGCCAGCTCATTCTTACGCTAAAGTCAATGCCAGTAATATTTTCTTCTACGGAACATCTCTCTTTTCTGATTTTATTCATAAGTGATATCAGCATTGTTATCTTTTGGTAGTACGGAAATGTGGCAATTAATTCAGTAATTTTAAAGTCAATGCTACTCTATAAATCAGTGTTGGCAACTTTGTCTCTGTCTATATGTAATTAGCACTCATTCCAGAGTTAAAACATTGTAGCTTAATTATACACGTACCATTCAAGTAAACAGTTCGTATTATCAAGATTGTGCTATGCAATTGCGTTATATCAAGCATCAGCTTAACAACGTATACACGGTGAGTACCGCTAGATACTCGACACAACAAATCCATTCACTGTGAAGACCAGTGAGCAAGCTTCTCCTGCGTTTCCTAGGTTGCATCGGACAGTCGGTCAGTCGGTGAATTTGTTCCCAATACCGGATTAACGGCGTACCTCTCATATCTAGAATTCTAAATAGAAATCATATCGCGAAGATCAATGCTTTTAAATACTTTCAATTTTTTGCGATCCGATGAAAATACGGTTTTATCTTTTAAACTTGTAATTTACAATTTTCAATTTACCGTTACGCTTCTTTAACTTACAGTTATACTGAATGTTAAATTCAGATTAACTTGATGTATTTCGTCTAGTTGGCGAGACTCACTGAAAGAAATTAAGAGAAACTCTAACGCGGTCACTAACGTTATCCTCTGCCCTTCGATTTTTATCTGGGAAACACGCGGACTACTTAAAATTAAGATCGTATCTTCGGTCGAAACTGTTCCAGAGTAAACCAGCGAGAATTATATTCTCTCTTCGGTAGAAAAATAACGTTGGAACGTTATTGCTCGTAAAAGACAGTCTCATTCTGTCTGGAGATTTACGAGTGGGCCGATTTTATGCGCTTTGAAGCATTGGAGACAACGCAGAACACAATAAATCATATAATTTGATCAATATGTTATATAAATTAAATACTACGATAAAAGAACGTAAGTTCTTCCGGACATTCGTCCGTATCAATTCCAATTTTTACATACCACTTTGTACGAGGACGATAAAAGAATCGGAACACTCTAAAGAGACGTCCAACAGTTTCATTCGTGAATGATGAACCACCCAAAAATCGCCTGAGTACCTGGGAACTTGGACCATGAAGATAAAACATCAGACGTTAGGAAGTGACGGTGTTGAAGAGGTGGAATAAAAGGTGAACACGTCGCGGGTCCTCTTTTCTTGAACAAGATCGTCGAAAGTGTAACAGTAAGTTTCTCACAGTGCGGCTGTTCGGATGTCGGGGATCGGACGGAGGTTCCATTCTTCGAGTGGAGAGACTCGGGGTCACCTGGATTTAGAGAACAGTGTATCAGAGGTCGTGAAACGTGCAGGTGGAAGGAGTAATAGTAATAGTAAAGAGAGCCATTGAACCAGGTTCACTTGATGCTGGCGCACAGGACGTTCCAACCCTGGAGAACGCGGGAAACAGACTGCATCGAATTAAAATTGATCAAACTGATTAGTAAAGCGTGAGCATACATTAATGTGGAGCAATAAGTATTAAAACCAGAAGAGTGAATGAAAAGAATTATAAACCGACGTTTGAAATTTATAATCGCGAGCTGCGGTTTAGCTACCACGTTAGCTGATCAGGATGGTGCTAATTAGAAAATTAGGTGAAAATAAGATCTAAGTGTAAGACTGTTTGGACGATAAAGATTCTAACGCGAGTTTTATGAAGAGATTTCCTGCGGATCGCGATCGACAGGTATCGCAAATGGATCCTGATACCGGGTCAGCTGTGCGCAACGAACGATGAGCCTTTCTGTGAAACGCGACGATCGTTTGAAACCGGAACTGTTAGTTGCTATTATGTGGGACGAATTAGGAACGGCTCGTAGATGATACGATATGATAACGTATGAATCAATGAGACGTGAAAGGATCAACGTCGCGTTGATTCTTCATGAACCTGGGATGTTGCAACCGTTGTGTCAGTGGAGGATCTTCTTCGTCTTGTCGTTTGTGATACTCGTGTCATCGCCTTGTAGTGATAGTCGTGGTATGTAATTATTATAAATCGTAAGGAGTTATCCAAAAATATATACTATTGATTAGAAACTTTAAGTTAAAGCCATCATTTATATTATCTTTTGAATTTCAAGTAGTGGTATTAGTAAAGTATACGTAAAATATCGAGGTCAGGGTATTGTACTTTTAAACGATAGAGAATGTTTGCTTAATACGAGATATAATTTGTAGTATTAACGGTTTGAAATATATATATATATATATATAATTAGTTTCATTTTCCATCTTGATAGAAATTGTTTCGAAATGTTAACAAATCGTTTGAGAAAAAATCCAACTTTTAAGTGATAGGAAGATAGAAAAAATGATTAAAAATGGGCAAATCAACAATTGACCAAGCAACAATTTTTTTAGCGTCATAAATGCGTTATGCGTTGCATTATAGGAGGAAGTGTGCCCCGTTTTAAAAGATCACGGTGCAGCTAGCGTGAAATGAAAGAATGTACGGGTGAAAAAACGGGGAAATGATATCCCTTCGAACTGATAGAAAATGTATTATATAATTAGCAATTAAAAGTGTGGCAGTTTATTATCAATGTATTTAATAACAATTGATAATAAATAAGATCGTACACAAAAGCATGCAGTACTTAAAAATTGTTTCCAATGCACAGCTAGGAATCCACCAAATATCCAAAAGATAGTTACAAATAGCGAAACGCTTAAAATGAACAAAGATGAACTGCTTACTAATTATATAGATGATAAATGGCAACAAGGAAATCTTCATAGCGACCAGATTGGAGAGTCATGGAGTTCAATACCTCCAGTTAACTTTACACGTAATGACACAGAGGATTATCAATTAGTGTAAGTCTAAATTCTATAAATAGCATTAGAGTATTACAGGAAAATTGATTTAACTATATTTAACAGAAAGTAATCTTTTAGAGTACACAACGAAGAAACGTTGTCACATAAAAGATTTAAAAGAGGTGTAATACATCTTTATAATATGCTAGTTTGTGCTACTGGATGCAATCCTTTATCTTATAAAGGATATGGATGTTATTGTGGCTTTCTTGGTTCAGGATATGTCATAGATGGAATAGATAGGTAATTTCCCTCGAAATATTTGACATATTAGATGCTTAAATATATATATTAATAATAGGTTTCTTTATATGTTGATTATAGTATTGAAGTGAAATTACTGATTTATCAAAGCATTTCAGATATTTAATTGCGAAATAAGAAGGAAAATCGTAATTTTCACGAGTGTGACAGTTCTAGTGTTAAATGAATTATTTTAAACGGTAACTTAATTTTTTCCAGGTGTTGTAAAATGCATGATTGGTGCTACGACGCTACAGATTGCGCAATGTTTTCAGAGTACTTCGTACCATATTATTGGAGATGTTACCACGGTTATAAACCGGTTTGTGGTTCGTTGCGTTAGATTTATTTGGCTTGCATATCTCTTTAAAATGCTTGTTTATTAGTATTTTTTACATTGCAGCTGTTGAACACGGAAACTGGGGAGGATCTGGGTCGTGTGCTCAACGATTGTGCGAGTGCGATCGCTCGTTTGCTGAATGTTTGAGACGTTATCCTTGCCCAACGACTAAAGCTGTATGTACTTCGTCGCCTTGGAGATTGGTACAAAATCTTTTTATGACTATGTAATTATCGACGGAATTCTTAAGCATAAGTACTAGAATTGGAAATGAGTTTATGAATTAGATTAACATGCCAAAGATAATACGAATACCCTTTCGTAAACGCGTAACACCTGTACATAAGTGAAGATATAAAATTTGTTTCTAATGTAGGAAATCCGAAACACGAAGCGTATATTAAAACAATGTTTCCTTAGAATATATTTTATCTTTAATACATCGGTAAGAGCATTAGAATATATTGAAATATAAATCTTTGTATAATAAACTTTATACAGAAAACAGTACCATTAACACCACTTATTTTACAAAAGGAATTATTTACAAAGTACTTATGCCCCCAGTTAAATGTACAACTCTGTTTTTGTATTTCTTTGAAATATCTTGCTCTATCTGTAAATAAATAAACAAGAATAATTGATAAAATATTTGTACAACAGCGTTAGAAACGACGTTGTAGATACCTGTGTTTGTAATTCCTTTGTTCTTTGTATAAGGCGTTGTAAGAGAGGTTGAAGAGACTCCGCTTCTTCTGCAGCATTTTTCCTCTTTTGTTTCATAGCATCTTGTAAAGCTATCATTTTGTCGATTAAACTTAATTTCTGTTTCAAGGTTGCAGCTAGTACATCCATGTATCTACCAACATGAATATTTATTAGTATGTTTGGAATATTACATAAAAATAATATTCCTCTCATCCAATTACCTAGCAGAGTGTTTAATGTTATGTAGGTGTTGAACTTTTGTATCCAACACCTGAGATAAAACAACTTGTACATTGTCTAACATATTCTGAGTATTTTCTAAGGTGGAATATTGCAGAACAGAAGATGAGTCTTGAAACTGACTAAAGCTTAAGAAGTTCATACTGTCATCCATTTTTAATTCGTACAATCGTAATTTAAGGAATGCTTCCAGCTGTAAAGAAAAAACAGTTTAAAAAACATTTCAAGCAATATTGATAGTTATGAACCTAATTGAAAAGATAGTGTATACTTCAAATAATTGATCCATAAAATCGTTTCTAGTGGATGGATTATCGAGTACTGTGTACGCATCAGTACCAGTAGCTATTCCACCTTCATGACCAGCTGCTTCTACAACTATACCAGATTCTTCCAAAGAAACATTATAATCTATATCTCCAGGTGCAACTTCTTCCACATTTCCATCGCCCCAATCAATTTCACCGCTATCTTCCAAATTAATATCACCATCAAAATTTACACCCCCGTTTAGGTCAATATCGCCGAAATCAATTCCCTAAAAGTTGAAATTTTTTGAACAGATCTTTCGAAATACTGTTTAAAGAATTTCTAGAAATTTACATACAATATTTTCAACCTCCTCAATTTTCTGTTTTTCCATATCATGATCATCGGTATTTATATCTAAAGATGGTTCACTAACTGATAAAGGAGGTTCCCCATAAATCCATTCATATGTGGTAGTATTTCCTTTGTCTAATGGAGGTATAATATGTAATACAGTATGAAATAAAATCATAACATTATTTCCAATTAAATTTTAGCATACCAATAACATATTTCAGCATGGAAACACAGCCACCATCATGCTGTCTACCTAGAGTATAATTAACAAAACCACTGTAGAACTCTACAGCCTTTTGTAACGATTTCGCTTTCTCTGCAATTCTCTCATAAATTTCTGGAAGTTCTTTCAATTTCTCTGCTAGTTCTTGTTTAACGTGATGACCAGGAATGCCTAATTGTTTGCAAAGTGAATTAAATTCTGACCGAGCTGTATTCTCCGATTTTTTATACTCTGCCTCTTTCTTTTCTAAGTCCTGAATAAATATTGTTTTCAATAAAATAAAGGTATCTTTAATTTCAATGTCCTAAAATAATAGAAATACTCACAACTTGCATTTGTTCTAATTTTTGAATTTGTTTCTTAATACTAGGAACTTCATAATTAACATTTCTAATAAGGATTTGGGCGATTTCTGCAAGATACAAATTTTCTTTCTCATATCCTTTTACTATTTCCTGCCAGTCTTTCATTCTCTGTGATCCATATCTTCCAAAAACATTCTTTGTGTCTGCCTCAGTTTCCTTTAATATTTCTATTATTTTTAAACAATGAAAATAATTTATGTCTGAAAAGATATGAATAAACATAAATACACCACATAAAAATCAATAATAAACACGCTAAAATACAAAATTCAAATGAAACTTACATGTTCCAGATAATAATTTAGTAATACCATCGTGTTCAGGCATATCCTGAATTGCATTATTAATTTTTTCTCTGAGAATTAAAACTTTAGTATGCCAATCTTTATTACAATGCCGCCTGCTAATTAACCATTCCAATAATTTTCCAGTATTGATATCAATAGAAAAATTCTGCTCCTAATGAAGATAACATTAATAACAACTTAATAAAATAATAAAATTTCAATGTTTAAAATTTACCTCCATAATACAGAATATTTATAAATAATTTAATTTTCTTGTGTTTATTTCTCTGTAGGTTATAACAGCTGTAGATCCTTGCTTATATTGTTATAACATTTCAAAGTGATTACAACGGTTAGGTTACACTACCGGCTGTCTTAGTGACACGTTTCTGACGTATTTCCGGAAAGACGGAATTTAAATTTACTACGACTAAACGTTATAGAAATGAACATGCCACGTACTCTACTTTGATCAATATATTCTGATCATACTTATACAGATAATCATTGTTTTGATAAAATACGAAGTTCTTATACTACTTTCTACATATATAGAAACAAGATACGAGTTTTAATTACAATTAAAATACTTTTATTAAATAATTATAACACTTTTATAAAAAAAAATTCACATTTTATTTAATTACTATATTTCCATGTACGTACGTTTCCTGTTTTATAATGGTTAAAAACAAGAGAAATAAACGATCATATAAGCAAACACAATTACTCGCGCAAATATTTTAATTTATTATATTACAGTTTTACAGTAAGAAAAAATGTGTTTTCCTTGGCAATGTCTGTACACTACCTGTACCAATATATAATTACAACTTAAGAATTTAGCATAAGAGATATAACAGTCAAATTGCTCTTATGTTCCCTGTTATAACTCTTAATAGAGCAGGTACCATACTCAAACACTCTATCCTCTCTATAACTTAATATTAAAATGATACACACATGAACGCGCATATACAACATTTTCATACATGAGGAAACAGAGTTTATTTTACTAGAATGTTCCGTCTGCTGGATATACAGTTGTACTGCAACGTCTAAAAAAATATGTAGACGTTAGAACCAACTGGCCAGTGTGAACATGGCACAGTGTCAATAGAACTTGTGGTACATTATTTATGACGCAATTTCGCGCCATTCAGACGGAGAAGTTATTTTATTGTGAGCAAAGAAAACACTCATTCTCAAATACACTAGTGGATGTGTTAGCGCTTCTTCTCTGCGAAGAAAGTCTTCAAAACGAACACCTGAGACACACATATGATTAAAATTACGACTGTTTCGAAAATGGACCATTTAAGCACGTGATCATTCAGATCTTCTGCTCGTTTACGTCCCTGTGATTCTCTTAATCGATAATGTGTTTGGTAATCTAAAATGCTGTTTAAATTTTTGTGTACTTCTGTTGCCGATGACTCCATCTAAACAGAATTATTTACTTTTGTAGTATATGAAATATATTATTATAAAATATTCCAGTAGCAATTGATTTATAATGTATTATATTACCTGAGTCAAAGCAGTCGCATGTTCTCCAAAGAGTGGTACTTGATCACCCACACGGAATTCCATATAAACAAGTTTATGTGAAAATGTTGAAAACTCGTTACTGAAACAGGCCTTATACGCTCCTGTCATAGCAGTTGTAAACTGATGTGAATCAAACTGTACTTTATATTGTTGGTAGATGATTTCTTTATTTGGAGCTTCTAAAGTTACATCTACATCATACTGTCCACCTGTCACGACCTGTAAAACATTTTCTTATGCTGTAATATAAGTATCTATGAAACATGCTGATATTACAATGTAATAATACATCTATATTCACTATATTCAGTATAATAAAAAAATCGTTCTCAGTGTAATCATTAATAATTCATGATAAACTACCAATCAGTGTAAACGTGGCGAATTCTATTACATTTTGCAATGAACGAATTATCATATGTTGTAGAAATATGGTTTCATAATTGCGCATTACCAGGAAAATCATTTCAATTAATCGTACGTGATGACATACCTGGAATTCGAGCACTGCCGTCGTATTTTTCTCGATTTCTTCGAAGAAACACTGTTTTTCATTATCGGGGAGTTCGAAGGTTAGCTCGACGCCACCAGTCCTTAATATCGTACCGAATAGCGAAACTAACAGCAAGCAGATCGACCAGTAGTCCATTTTTTCCTTCTTCTTTTGATTTTAATTGTTCGTACACTATCCTACATACATTAAAGTGTAAAATTAATTTATTAACTACGATAGTTTATTAGTTGATCAATGCCTTGGCCAAAATTTCATACAAACAAGCTATTTTAACGTGGCCGGATATTACTAGCACCGATTCGAGCGCCGTACGAACGGAACTGGCTGCGATAACGTCTAATTTTTAAGAACGTTTGGCATACATATTTTTTTATCTGTTTTTTATCAGTAACATTATGTAGTTGCCTGTTATAAAATACGAAGTAAATAATTTGAATAAATTGTTTTCATATACGTAATCAAAAATCTACTTCGAGGCCATATTTTATGAAAAAAATTGTCATATGTTACTTTACGTTTACCCGTTTCACTGATGAAATTATATTACTGTAATTAAAATATATTTTGTATTTCAAGATAGAAAAATTTCAAGTGATTCAACGATAAAAATATAAAAGTAGAACTAGACCATTCTTAACGCCCACTCAATTTTTTCTGAAATTTATTAAAACAGAAAATTCCTTTATTGAAAAAATAAACTTTTTTTAACACATCTGCTTACACAGATGCATAGCGATATTACAAGGATCAGGAAATTGTATACATTTCCGGTATTGACGTATATGGATAAATTCACAAGTTTTGTCACGTTTTTGATTGTGTATTATTACATACACGTGTACGAGTTCATGGAATATTAAATAGTTTCCTGTACGTGTTTCCTCTACATTGCATGATCCAGAAAACCGGAAGTTTGTTTTAGGATCACTGGTTACTTAGTACTTCATATAAAACAAATAAGATTAAGTTCAATAATTTGCACTACTTTCTATTTAGAAGTGTGTAGAAGCAAGAAAAACATTGTAATCACAATTATATTCACAAGACACTTACTCAGTTGCAAAAATGAATTTGCAAAAGACTAAATTACTTAACAGCATTTTACATTTTCATACTGCATACAGGGTGATTCGCCGGAAGTTATAATCTAAGTACTTTCGTTGTTTTTTTAACTCACAATAAAAAATATAACAAATCGCTTTTTTAAGAAACCCTTTGTCTAATCTGTCGTTATATATTTACATATACTGGTGTACTATCTGACATTACATTTTAGTAATACATGCTGGCACGTGTAAGTGCACACAAAAGTGTTTGCGTGAGGCGCCCTAAGGTCCCGCCTACTATTCTAATAGAGTCTCCTCGTCTGTCATGTTACTTATTCATGGAGGTGTGTTGCAGAACAAGTCGCGTGTATCGAAGGGCAAAGGGGGTATCCAAAAGAGAGGGAAACCACTATAAAGGTCCTTTTCATTGCGAAAGAACACCAGGCGTGACGGTGCACGCAAAAATCGTATGCAATCTCAAGAATCATTTCGTAAGTATACCATGTAATTATGAGAAAGCAAACAATTTTTTCTACGTTACACACGTATTATTTTATTAAATTACATTAACGTCTCTACGTCATTTCAATGAAGAAAACAAAGATTGTGTACTTCGCGTGTATCAAAAATAGCTCTTTCTCTAACTATATTTAAAGGTGTGTTTTGGTTGAGATTAAGGAAATGAAATCGTAATTATGTAGATTAAATTATATGAATATGTAACGCGGTACCGTGTGCCTTACCTTTAGTGTCTATATACATATGTGTTATCATATAATCTCGATTCCTTACTAGCTCAGCAATAACCTACGTGAATTTTTTGATAACCCTGCATAGCGTGCTCGAACGATCCTTAACGGTACCTGCAAATCGTTCTAATTTTAAAATGTTTCTATGTATATCTAGAATGAAATCGATATAGGAAGGTTTGATCGAAACAGAAGCACGCCGTTGTTATTTTCCCGCAAAAAAATCTCGTGACCGACGGTTGTATACTTTTACAAGGAAATCAGTGCGTGAATCATGATTAAGTATATCATTCTTTGAATATCGATAAGGCTGCAGTAACGCTTATATAATAGTTTTTAAATACTCCCTCGTGTGAGTACATACGTACACACATGGTCACTACTGCACCTGGATACACTACCAATCAAAAGTTCTATGTACTCCATGCAGCATTCTTAAAAATCATTTTTTCCTTGATACACGAAAGCATAATCTAATATTCCAAAAATATAGCTAGATTTTCAAAATTCATAAAATCTCAATTCCACCGTGATTGTTTCACTTTACATTGAATATATCAGAAGAATCATGCTCAAAAATTGAATTAACGGTTATATAAAATAATTCGACAAAACTACAATCGAATGACCACAAGGATAATATTCGAAACCTACGAAACTGAAATTGGAAAAATAAACAAGAAATGATCGTTTCAGTCACGTTCGAACCGCCACACTTTCCTTTTTTCTCTACTTGACAAACTCGAACACGTGTAAATTAAGCAAAGCGAGAAAAAAAATATATCCGTGAAAGAGAAGTATCGATCCCATCCTACGGGCATGAAATTTAAGAACGTCTTTCCCACTGCACGTGCAGCCAACTTTTGCGCGTTAGTGTATGGTGTACACGTGTATGTGTCCTCCCCCCGTGTGTACACGAGGAGTCAGGTTCGAAATACGAACAACACGAGAGGTTTCTACACCACGATTAACTCCATAGGGTGGGGGGGAGGAGCACACGACCGCATCAAGCTGCTGGCACCATGAGTTTTCGAACGACAACGGTAGGAGGCAGATCTCTTTCTGTGCATCTCTCGGTTCTATCCACGGTGTTATTTTTACCCACGAATTTCCCTTTCGCGTGGCCGAAACAAATCCATGCCGGGAATTGTGTTTCCGTCCAGTGGGGTCCACAAGTCGCAGCGCGTGTGAAAGGAGAAAACGCGTTCGTATTGGTTCGAGACCGAAGATGATCCAGTGTAACGTAGGTCGGTGACTCGAAAAATCCTCGTGGCGGATGTCCGTAAGGTAAGCGTACTATTTAGAAACCGTACCTGTGCAACGTTATCCGCAGCGAGACGGGTGCACACGCAAGGAAAAAGGATAGTGCGCAATGAAAGGATACAACAGAGCGAAGAACGAAGGAATAGTAAAAGGGGAATATAACAGTAGTTCAAATATTTGGCCAATGGCAGATCGCGCACGGTGTTACAGGGAAGCAGCGATGCGTGACATTCATTGGTCGAATTTACCCAAGTTTACGATAGAATGGTACCTTAACTGGGTTAGATGGAACACGATATTTTTCTGAATATCGCTGCACGGTGCTTGGTGAAGTATAATTATCCAGCGGTTACTTTGCTATTCTAAAGGCATTTGCACGGTAAACAGTTAATTAATATCGTTAACTATATGTTGCGTGTTTAACGGACTGATTAGTATTTTGACTAAGATAGCAACGGTTCTGACGAATTTGAATTTTAATGCGGTCAACGTTGTTTTACTTACCGTAAGTAATTCCGTTTTAATAATGTACGGGGAATTTTGGTAGGCTGTTAATGAAGACAGCGTGTTTTCATTGAGTCGATTAGAAATCAGAGGGAACAGAGGGTTTATCTGTTGTTACAAGCGAGTGTCCCTTTGATCTTGGATATTCGTGAATCTTGCTACTTGAAATCGAGTCCTTGACGAACAAAAACTATTTACTTGGTGATTGCTGTTTTTGTGTAATGATAAACTAGAGATTAATAGCGAAGAGCTGTTTGGAAAGTGGTTTTGTAGAGCTGGCTACCTGTTCGAATCGCAATGTCTCTTTACTGACTACAGTGGTAACCTAACTTTTCAAAATATTCGAATTTTATTTATTACTTCGTTTCACTTAAATTGTGGCTTTATATTTATTATATACATTGAAAATCAATGCTCCACTGTTTACCATTAAATTTAGATCACTTATTACTGTAAATTATATAATGAAGTTTAAATCAAATCTTTGTGAAAATGCATGACTAGTGGTCAGATAAATTAATAATTTACATTTGTAATTATTTTAGGTTCCGATAAATTATTTCCACCGACATCATTGTTGCAATTAATAATTGGATACATTTCAATAATACTCGGTTCAAATTATTGTTTAATTATTTGTATCATCGGGTGCTGCATATATTTTCCTGCCACGTGTCTAATTTTCGGTTTCCCAACAAATTTCCACGATCTTCGAAAGGAGGCGGCGTTAGGTTATATACGAACGGGTAGGGTTGCCGTAACGGAAGTTAAAAATAGTCGAATATAGCAAATAAACGAAGCAAGGTTGACGGACGCGATGCTGAAATACCTGGCTATATTAATAAATTTCCCCTTTATCTGCTGGTGTCAAAGTATAAATAACAATGGCACAATATCGTTGCAAATCATTCGTAAATATCTCAACAAATGCAACGTCTGCGAACCTTAGATCATTCCATTACCTTCAACAAACATATCACATTCCCCAATACCCAATACTCCTAATATTACTAAATAAACATTGCTACCAACTTCCAGTGCCACCGATACTAACAATTATCAGCAGAGAAAAAAAAGCACAGTTTACCTCTCAAGAGAAACTCGATAGTACAAACACAACACACAAACTACCTCACACTATATATCTCACAAACACACAGTCCCACAGAGTCGCAATATGTTACACGAACAAACTAACAAACATTCTCACACTCAATAAATCATTACATCAAACACCAAAAAGCCAAAACCAATGAGTAATCATAATGAACAGTATCATTTAAATCGCTGCAATCCGATCGGTCAATAACGTCCCAGCAACAATGCCCACAACTAGAAAGTAACCGAGCTATCGCACGGTAACG